TGTAACGGACTGTTTGCAACGGAGAGGGCTGCCTGTGTAGGGGCTGCCATGATGGTGATTATATCTTGGTCCCTCCGAGAGGCGAAGCCCCTCTGCCTCCATCTTCCTGGAGAGATGTTTCGGGCATAACCCTGGGCGGGGCCGATATCTGGCTGGAGATGGAGCCAGGTGGCCTCTCAGCCAGCCTGTGGCCCCCGCTTTGGGCAGCAGGCCCAACAACTCTCCCGCTGCCAGCTCACCAGGGGGTCTCAGCTCAGCCAGGCTCCCCGCTGAGGGGGAGGCCTGGATCTCCTGGAGCAGGAGGTCAGGGCAGCCCACTCCACACAGCCTGGCACAGGGGCGGGGGGCCCGAAATCTAAGGTTAATTTTTTGTGTGGCCTCAGGCAGGTCGTCTCCCTCTCTGGGCCTCAGTTTCCCAATCTGGGAAGAAGGTAAGGGACCTTCTGTAAAGGCCCCTGTTTGCAAGCTGCAGACGAAAAATAGACTCAAAGGTATCCCTGATTTATTGAGTCAATGGGCCCAGCCACATACATCTTGTGCCATCTGATGGACAAAGTGGGAACTGCAGGGTGTCCCCACGCTGCCGGCTGTGTCAGGCCCTGGGCAGGGCAGCAGGGCCACCCAGAAGAAACCGCAGCCTCTTGGGGCAGCAGGCAATAACCAGGCAATCACAACATGAAGAGGCTGGGGCAGTGAGAGACGTTCCACTGCAGGGGAGATGGCTCCTGGTGGGGGAAATCACGGAGGCTTCATGGAGGAAGCACTATCCAGGCAAAGGATGACACAGCCCAGAAGAAATGGAGAGAAATGAATGAAGCACAATAGTCAGAACTAGGTGATATATGTAGAGGGGCTCAATGCTGTGTGCTGGTGGGAGCTTGTGAGCCCTTGGCTGTATACATGTGTGATGTGTGCCACGCACCAGATGCCACCAGGCAGGTATGTGGAGTGTCAGAGCCCAGCCTCTCCCAGCGAGAATTCTGAGGGTGGGGATGCTCAGAAGGAAGAGATGCCCCAGCCGCTCCCCCCCCCCCATCTCACTCTGGAACAGAGATATTGGGACAATCCCATAGAGATCCCTCCCTGATGACCCCTTTCTTAAGGGACCAGCCCCAACCCCCGCCCCCAGCCCCACCCATGTACCCTCTTTGTAACAATCATCCTCCTGTTTCATTCATAGAGGGCTTCACTTGGGGTTTCTCTCTTCTCCTCCTTCAATTCCATCAGCCTCCCACATGCTTTGGGTGCCCCCTGGCCTCTCGGGTCCTTGTCCTTCTCCTCTCCCCACCTCAGCCACCCGTCCTGCAAGTCACCACTAATAAGGATGTGGCCTTCTGTATCTCCATTCAGAACATCCCTTCCTCTGGACACACCTCCTGCACTCAGTGTCCCCACTGCCACAGTTCTTCCCTCAGTGCCGTGAGCCCCCTTTCTCTTTGCCCATCTTGGATCAAGGCCCAGAGCTATACCCAGACCCTTAAAACATCCCCAGCGTCCCTCACCTTCTGCAGCTCTGCCCTGCATCTTGCAACACCCCTTTCACAGATTCCCATCAGCGCACAGGCCATTCCCTGATTCCCCGCCTTAAGTGAGCTTCCCTGGACTCACACTTCCCTAGTTCCCACCCATTGTTTGCAAAGTTTCATTAGTGTTGTCCACACTCTCCACCCACTGCTCCAATGAAACCCTCATGTCCAGGTGGCCACGGCCTCAGGAGCCTCCAAGTTCCCCAAGGACGCTTTTCTGTTCTTCCTTCTTCCCCTCCTGGCTCTTGGGGCTCCTCACTCACCCAGGGTCTCTCCCACACCATCGGCCATGTCTCCTCCCTCAGACTGCCCATGGGGGATGCCCGGTGCACTCCTGGGCCACCTCTCTCTACACACCCTCTCCCTGGGGTCTCAGCCAGGACCACGGCTGGGAAAGCGCCTCTCACTCTGGTGACACCTGAGTTTATAGCTCTCCTCTGTCCTCTCACTTACCTCCAGCGTCCTGTTCCAGAGGCAACTCAACTTCGACATGGACCAAACACTGCATCTCCCTGTGATCATCCTGCCAGAAATGCAGAACCCGACTCTGGTGCTGAGGAAACCCCAGACAAACCCAAATCGTGAGATTCTACAAAATAACTGGCCTTTCCACTTCAAGTGTCAGGGTCGTGAAAGATGAAGAAAGGCTGAGAAACTGATCCAGATTAGAGAGTAAGTGGACAGGATGACAAGACACAGTGTATGATCCTGGTTTGGATCCTGGTCTAGGAAGAGAACTCTAGTAGCATAACTGACAGTGGGAGTGAGAGGGGCAGATGATTTAGTAGTAGCCTGGGTTTGCTCATTGTCCTGTGGCTATTTAAGATATTAACATTTGGGATCAGCTGGTGTGGCTCAGTGGTTGAGCATCGATCCATGAAACGAGGTCACAGTTCAATTCCTGGTCAGGGTACAGGCTCAGTCACCAGTAGGGGGCATGTATCTTTCCCTTCCTCTCTCTGATATCAGTACACATACACACACACACACACACACACACACACACACTTTTTTAAAGATGTTAACATTTGGGGAAGTTGAGTGAAATGCAAATGGGAGTTCTTTGTGCTATTTTTGCAAGTCTGAAATTTCAAAATGAAACATTAAAAATTGTAAAGCCCTAGATCAGTGATTCCCAAAGTGGGTGCTACCGCCCCCCAGTGGGCGCTGCAGTGATCCAGGGGGGCGGTGATGGCCACAGGTGCATTTGGAGGCGATGAGTAACTGCTATTAAAATTTTAAAAAAATTGCCGAACCGGTTTGGCTCAGTGGACAGAGCGTCGGTCTGCAGACTCAAGGGTCCCAGGTTTGATTCCGGTCGAGGGCATGTACCTTGGTTGCGGGCACATCCCCACTGGGGGGCATGCAGGAGGCAGCTGATCGATCTCTCTCATCGATGCTTCTAGCTCTCTATCCCTCTCCCTTCTTCTCTGTAAAAAAATCAATAAAATATATTTTAAAAAAATAAAATAAAAATAAAATTTAAAAAAAATTAATTTCCAGGGGCTGAGTAATATTTTTTCTGGAAAGGGGGCGGTAGGCCAAATAAGTTTGGGAACCACTGCCCTAGATGGTTTGGATAGAGCATCAGTGGATAGAGCATCGGCCTGTGGACTGAAGGGTCTCGGGTTCGATTCCAGTCAGGGGTACATGCCCAGGTTGTGGGCTTGATCCCCAGTAGGGGGCGTGCAGGGGCAGCCAATCAATGATTCTCTCTCATCATTGATGTTTCTATCTCTCTTCCTCTCCTGTCCCCTCTGAAATCAATAAAAATACATTTTTAAAAATTGTAAAAAAAAAATCTAAAGGAAAATAGGAACCTCCACTATTCAATACCCCATCACCAAGAACCTGTGCCTCCCTCAGGCTTCCATATCTCAGGAAACAGCAGCCTCATCCTTGATATGAAAGGTCATCCTTGACTCCCTACTTTCTCACACCTCACATTCAGTCCTTCCAGTTCCAAACCATGCCCTGAATCCGTGCACCGCCCTCCATCCTTTTCGTTCTGCTGTGCTGAGAGCCACTGGCCTTCTCACCTAAGGCTACTGAGGCTCAACACTGTCTTTCTGCTCCTGAGATGCTCCAGTCTCTCCCCATGCCTTCCCATGGGGTTCCTTAGGCCTCAGCTCAGTGCCACCTCCTCCAGGAAGCCTTCCTGGACCACACTACCCCTGGCCACCACAATCCTCATTGCAGCACAATGCTGGTTTCCTCACTGCCTTTGTCTTCCTGAGGTGACTATAAATTCCACACAATTAGGGACTGGGCCTCTCTCTGAAGGGTCCCAGCATCCAAACAGTGTCAGGCACATGGTAGGGGTGACTAAACCATGGAATGGTGCCCTGATTGGTGGTGCTGCCCTCTGTAACCCTGCCTCCTCTCCTGAGATGTCATTCCTGGGTGCACGTGTAGGTCCTTAAGTTCTCCAGCTCCCAAGGGCAGGCTTGAGGGAACCCCTTTCCTCTCCCTCCAGGTTTCTATAGGGTCTCCTGCCAGCTCTGGCCTCCCCTGGAGGCATCTCCAGAATTCCAAGCCCGTCTCTGGAATGCTGGGCCTGTCTGGGGAATGTCAAGGCTGGGCACAGGTGGAGAGGCTGTAGAGTGGCTGGGTGGAGCGAGGACAGCTGCTGACATTCTGGCTGGAGCCCAGACACCATGGCAGCTGTCCCTCCTGCAGGCACCACAGCTCACACCTCCACTTCCTTGCAGCACCCCCTCCCAAGACCAGTGTTACTCTTCTGGCCGCAGCTCTGGCCTGGACACCCCACTAAGTTGAGAGCCACCAGGCCTTGAGCCTCCATTCCCTGTTGGGAGGGAAAATGGGTTCCTGGAGCCTCTGAAGTTTGAGAAAAGTGGAAATTATTCCCACACCAACCTGGTCCATCAGACAGAGCCCTCCTGGGAGGGTGACCTTTATAGGCCCTGTGCCTCTCTGACCCCAGGTCCTCACCTGCCACATGGGTGAGGGCAGGTATGCCGCCTTGGTCCCTGGGAGTCAGTGTTGGCCAGAGGGAAATCCAAGTGAGTGACAGATGGACTAGCGCTGTAGGCCCACTGGGCCCCACAGTGCCCTCTTCTCCCCAACCAGAGCCGAGATGGAGCGTGGGCTGCGGTGCCAAGGGGCATCCAGGGCTTAGCTGGTGCTGCAGTTAGTTATTCCTCCCTCCAGATAAGGACCCCCGCTGCCCCAGGAGCTCGTGAAATGCAGGTGCCTGGGCCACCACCAACTCCAGATTCTGAACCGCTGGAAACAGGGCCTGGGCACGAGTAGTTATAGAAAGGAGGCAGCGGGGTACGGAGCATGGTAGTCTCTGATCCAACCTAACCCCCCCTACGGAAGGCAACGTGTAGGGGTGGCTGGAGCATGGGCTCTGGGATAGGAAGGCAGTGGTCCTCAGGGCAGGAGTAAACACTGGCTGGGGAAATGTCCACAGGTCCCCCCGCCCCCTAAAGGAAAGCCAGACACCAGGCCTCCAGGGAGCAGGGTTTTATTTGTATTCCCTAGGACAGGGCTGGGGCGGGAGCCAGGGAGGGCCCTCAGTCAAGGACACGGCCAGGATCACATCCTGGGGACCCCGGCCCCCTGCTCCACCCCAGGGCCCAGCGGGAGTTGAAAGGTGGTGCTGCAGCTCTGGGCGAAGGTCGGCATCTACTCCACTCCCTTCATGAACTCCAGGAATTCTGTGGAGAGAAGGCAGGTGTGGGTCAGAGGTGGGGGCCGCAGGGCGTGGGCAGCGGGAGATCCCGTGCACCACCCCTCACCATCATAGTCGATGCGGCCATCGTTGTTCTTGTCGCCGTCCTTCATGAGCTCCTCAATATCGTCCTCTGTGATGGTCTCGCCAGTAGCCTGAAGCATCACCTTCAGCTCGTCCAGGTCAATGTAGCCATCAGCGTTTCTGCAGGGAGTGGGGGCAAGGGAGGTCTCCGGGCCTCTCGTGGGGGCCAAGGAGGGGAAGAGGCAGCCCCACCCACAACCCAGGGAGGGAGGCAGGCAGAGCAGGGCCGCTGGGAGATGAGGCACCCCACTCCCTCTCTGCACAGAATGGGAGACTGAGACCTGGAGGTCATAACACTGTCCCTTTCCCCAGCTCTATCAGCGTTGGGGTCAGAGGTCAAGGGTCACACACTTACTTGTCAAACATGCGAAAGAGATCAGATAGCTCCTCCTCAGACTTCCCTTTACTGTCATCCTTCATGCACCGAACCATCATGACCAGAAACTCCTCGAAGTCTACTGTGCCACTTCCTGAGGGGTGGAGGGCATGGCCATTAGAGAGGAACAGTCAGAACGGCTGGTACAGCCCTTGACCCTAGACCCCGGTGTTCTCACTGCATCCACCCATCAACTCCATGAGGAAGGTGGTCATTATACCCATTTTATATAGGAGACGACTGAGGCTCAGAGGCTAAACAGCTCCTTCAGGAGCACAGAGCAGTAAGCGGCAGAGCCAGGATTCGGATCCCCAGGGGCTTGCGGAGCTATGGGTCGGGGGCCTGGCGGGGCAGAGGGGCTTACCATCCTCGTCCACCTCATCAATCATCTCCTGCAGCTCCTCGGGGGTGGGGTTCTGGCCCAGCATCCTCATCACCTTGCCCAGTTCCTTGGTGCTGATGCAGCCGTCCTCAGCGCCCAGCACGAAGATGTCAAAGGCTGCTTTGAACTCTGTGTCCGATGCGGGACGGGGAGTAGAATGGCCAGGGCTCAGCAACCTGGGGTCACTTACCAACCTGCCCACTTCCCTCTGAGACCTCTGAGGTCACAGCAAGAGAGACTCCAGCATCTGGTTTCCAACCTGGGGTCCTCATGCTCCCCAAGCCCGGCCCTGTTGCCCCCCATATGTATGTTGGGGAACTCACCATTTTTCTGCTCTTCTGTCAGCTGCTCTACCTAGAGAGGAAAAGAGGTCTCAGGATGCAGGCTCAGGCTCTAGCTGCTGTTGAGGAAACCAACCCATTTCACAGGTGGGACAAGTGAAGCCAGGAGAGGCAGGCCAGTTCCAGGTCACTGAGACCTCAGTCCTTCCTTTCTGCCCCCAAAGCCCTTTGGTGACCCAGCTGGCCTCACTAAGGGTGGGCTCAGGGCCAGGGCGGCAGGTGGGCACCCCCTCCAGGACCAAGGTGACCCTGAGTAACAATAGTCAGTGACCACTCAATGCCCTATCAGCCTCCCTGCTGAAACCTAAGCTGGGTGGCCCGAGGGACAGCTGTCCCTCAGGTTGGGACAATAACACCAGTGTGGGGGCAGGTAAAGCCACTCACTGTAACCTGACCAGAGTGGCCACTGGGCTATTTTTAACGGGGGACAAAGTTAAACCTGGTGATTGTTCTGGGGACTCTGGCATGCAAGGGGGTGGGGCAGCGTTATCTGGCCCCCTGGCCTGCTGGTGCCTCAGGAGCCAAAATTAGTCCCCAGCCCCGCCAGGCCTTGTATGGGCACGGGCAGAGGGCTGCTCCCCCCAGCTCCATGGACTCCTGCGGGCGAGGCAGGGGCACCCCGAGCCAGCTGTAGCCCTCCCCTGCCCAGCAGTGAGGCCACAGTCCTGGGGCTGAGAGAAGGATTCCTTTGGAGACAGTTGTCTGTGTCAGATGTCCTTGTCCCTGGGGCATGGGGAGGTCAGCAAACTAACCCCCACACCGAGATGGAATAGCATCTGAAGCCCCTCAGTGACCACAGCACGTTCCAGGGACTGGGGTGACCACTCTCCAGCCCTAACCCCAGGCTAAGCCACTGAGCCCTGAGCCTGCCAGGCCAGATGGGAGCTTCGGCTTCTGTTCCTTCTTCCCGGCTCTCCCCGATGCCCAGTCCTTCCCTGCTTGTCCCAAACTTTAAAGCCCCTTCCCCAGCTCAGGATCTGGCTATGCAGCCCCCTCCTCACAACCCCTATGACCCCCTCCACCGCATCTTCAGCCAGCCCAGGAGCTGGCGGGGGCTGGGGGGTCATGAGAGTGTGAGACGCAGAATTGAGGGGCAGAAATGGGTGTCTCTGGGCCATCAGAGACAGCTCAGAACAAAAAGATGGAAAGACACTGAGGAAGGCAAAGATCCAGACACAAATGCAGAAAGGCATGGCCGAGAGATAGAGGGACACAGACTACAGACACTTGGAGACAGAGGCAAACATGGTGCTGAACGGTGCGACCTCCTCCTCCACCCACTCCCCAATCCCTGAATCCCTCACCCCTTCCACACCCTAGAACACCAGACCCAGCATCCCCTTGAGGGTCTGGGCTGAAAGTATGTAGGTCTTCTCCTGGGTCCCCACCACTTCCCTGGGATGACCCTGTTCCCCCACCCTGAGCGGAGTGACTCCCCAGTGGGCCCACCCATCCCAGTCCCTCACCGCAGCCTTGTAGATGTCATCCATGCTGTCGGCTCAGAGGGCAGGCTGCTGGGGTTGCCAGGAGGCCCCGAGCTTAAATAGCCCTGCCCCGCGGCATTCCGGGCCCAGCCCACCCCTGCAGGGAGCATCCTCCACCCCCTCCCCCAGCCCTGGTGATCTCAGGCTGGCTGAGTCCCCGTGTCCTCTGTCCAAGGCAGGAAGATGAAGGGCTGTGAAGACCAGGTCTCCTACCCTTTGTTCCCCAGGGGACTCTCTGGAAAGTTTTCTTGAATGAATGGAAACATGAGCCTAGGACAGGAACTACAAAGCAGTGGGGGCCCAGGCCAGGGCTCTATACACAGCAGCTCAACCTCTCCTCCCATCAGGGAGATGGATGATATTACTCCCGCCTTTCAGATAAGGAAACTGAGGCTCCTAGAGGGGTGATGACTTGCCCAAAGGCTGGCTGACTGGGCAGCCCCTGCCTCAGCTTAACTTCTCTGCAGTAGGGGAAGCCGTGTGCAAGGAGAGGCCTGGGAGTACGGGGCCTGCTCCAACCTAAGCTCAGAGTCCTGTGCTGAGGACCCACCTTAGGGCAGAGTAGTCGGGAGCCCTTCAGCCAGAGGAGCCACCCCCCAGACCTCTTCTCTCATCGAGCAGCGCTAGCTCTGGGCTCGGTCCGCTGCAGTCATCCAACAAACACACCTACAGATGCCCCATCTGTGCCAGACGCTCCCCGTCCTTCTCCCGCGGTAGGTCTGAGCCGTGTCCCGGGTCAGAGCTCTCTGCCTCTATGCCTGTGCTTCCCGTTCCAGCACTGTGGCTCCTGGGTCTAGGGCCAGGCGGCCGCCCTTTTCAGCTCCGGCAGGACCCCTCTGGGGAGTCTGGTGCCCCATGGACAGCACATATGCCTGCTCTCCGTCTTCACTCCCCCTCCCCATGCTGAGTTCCCATAATCGCACCTGCTCCCGGCCCTGCAAGCGGGGGCACTGCTTGAATTAACCCTCTCAATTCTCCAGCAGCCCATGACAGAGGACATGGAGTCTTGAGGAGGTGAACAACCGGCCCCCCAGTTATTGTTTGGGCTCTAAGCACGACTCTCCCCTCCCCTCCGTGCCCTACAGGTGGGGGGCGATTACTTCTTCCCTTTTTCGGAGGGAGAAACTGCGGCCAGGCGACGCAGTACTCGCGTCGGGGAGCCAGGGAAGCGCTAGGCCTTCTGTCCTCCTGGGCATCAAACCATATTGCCCAGAGCTACCCGCCGCGGGCCCCAGCTTCCCCCTGGCTGCGCGGAGCGCAGAGCAGGTACCCACGGCGCAAAGAAGAGACCCACGGCGCCGGTGGAGAGGCCCGCGCGGCCTGCGCACGCGCGCTAGAAGCGGTAGCTGTCAATCACGCGCGAGGGGCGGGGCGAGGAACCCGCGGAGGCGGTGGGGCCAAGATGGCCGCGCAGCGCGCGGCGGGGGA